GGGGCAGCTCCTGCCCGGCAGCCCAGAAGGGTGGAAACTGCTGCAGAGCAAAAGCCTGGGCTGGGCTGGGGCTGGCGGGGGTCCCCGGGGCAGTGGTGTCCCCAGGGCTGCTGTTTTGCTGCCCTAGAGAAGGAGCTGGTGTCCGTCCTCATGCCCAGTTCTTCCCTTGTCCCCAGAGGCAGCGGCACTTCAGCCACCGCAGCAAATGCCTGCCTGTTTGGCATCGCCTGAAGAGCTGGTGCAAACCCTCACAGCAGGAGAGGTCCCTGCTCAGACACCCACAAGTGGGGTGGGGGTCACCAGCGGCAAGGGGGCTTGATTGGAGCAGCAACTCATCCTGCTCCAAATTGCCTCTCGCCATATCCAGCTGCTCCCCAGTGGGCCCACGGCTCCCTCCCAACTGGGGAGCCCTTTCATGCCCACCCCAGCAGCCCCGCTCAGCCCCCACTAACGAGGGGTTTCCAGCCTTCCCTGTGACCCCACAACACGCACGGCAAGGGGACAACTTCCCACGCTGCCGGCCCAGGTCCCACTCCCAGGACAGCACAGCGGCTATTCGCAGAGGGAAGAAACAAGCCCCCCTGCTTTTGTGGCGTTCGGCTCCCCCGGGAGACAGGGCTGACTTGCCCGGGGAGGCAGTGAGTGAATGCGCACCCGGGAGCGCATGATTCACGCCCCGATCGCAAAATAAGGAGATTTTATTCTCCAGCACAAAAACATATGGGGAGCTGGCTGCCTGTGCCTGCTCTGCACACACACATGCACACGCATCCCCCTCCTGCCAGCGTGCACGCTCCCGTGAGCAGCCCCACGCCGCAGCCCATGCATTTGCACCCACGCCCACAGCCGTCCTCCCTCTCCGCTCATGATTCACGTGGGGAGAGCAGCAGCAAGAGGAGATTTTTGAAGCTGCAGCGATGGGCAGAAGGATAAGTCGCTGCCTACACCCGTTCTGCTCGTGTGAAAACACACGAACACCCCACACAACCGCAGCCCTGGGGACGGATCCGGGCTCATTGCTGTGGGTGGGAGAGATGCCTCCCCCCCCGGCTGCCCCCACACACGCCCTGGAGCCCCCTCCGTGCTGCCCTTCGGGGCAAACTCACCCTGGGGACGTTTGTCTGGCTCCCCTGGGAGCATGAAGTTGATGTGAGGGCAGCTCAGCCCGAGTTCACACAACCTGCCCAGACACGCAGTGCGTGCAGCTATGGCCTTCTCCCAGCCGGCTTGCAGGGACAACACCGCCCATCAGCTGCAGCCACGGCCCTGGGAGCTGCAGCCGAGGTCAGGCACTCTTAATTAGCAGAGGTGCTCGTTAAGACAGGTACATGCTCCATAAGCCTGCCCACCGCCGCTCTGCAGGGGAGCTTTGCAGACGTGCCTGCTGCTTTTGATGCTGGTGCTGCTCTCGAGTCCAACCCAGCATCGGTTCAAGCGAGGGCACACCACAAACAACCCCCGAGCCTGCCAGCCTCCCGCTGCAGGGACCCCTGGGGTCTCCTGAGCTCCGACTGTTGGGAAAGTCGGCCCCAACAGAGGAAATTTGGTCCTGAATGAAGCGGCAGCTCCCGCGCAGCGAGGAAGATGAGGATGGATCAGAGAGAGGCAGGTCCGACCGCGGCTCTGGGTCCCTTGTGAATCATTTTATTTTCACTGCTGCGGAGAGTAGGAGTGAAAATACCATTAAGTTGAAATCAGTCAAGAACTACATATGTCTGTAGATATATCTGTACAGTCTACCAGTATATATACACATTATATATAAATATATACATAGGGTCTCTGGGTTTAAGGTTGAAACCTGTCAAACCCAATAAAGCCCACTGGAGGAAGATTTGGAGAAGAGACTTTTATCATGCAAAACCAAGCCTGAATTAGCACGGGGGTTTAATGAACCTTTCAGCGCTGGGAAGGGGGGAGCACCCAGCTCGCAGGGTCGCTGGTGTGTCCCCAGGCTGCGGGGAGCATCCCTGTCCCATTCCCGGGGAGCGGGACACGGTGCCCGTCCGTGCCCGTCTCAGAGAAGGGTCAGTTTTGGTGGCTGAACACAAAGGAGGTAACGGCTGGTTTCTTTGGTTTATTACTTTAATGCTTATTTCAATTGGATTTTTTTTTTTTCCTCTAATGCTCGGCCTTAAATCTAAATCCTGAGAATCAGGAAGGAAAAAAAAGAGAATAACACCCCCTAATCCCGGACACCCTATATATGCAGGTACAGCTATCAGAGGGAAGCGATACACGTGAAAACAGGGAGAAGGGGGAATAAAAAATAGCTTTATCCAAAAGAGTAATTCTTCCCTTTTCTTTTTCTTTCCTTTTTTTCTACAAATTTCAAAAAAAAAAAAAAAAAAAAAAAAAAGGGGGCAAAACCAGTCATGTGTGTTTGGTTCAAGAGAGCAACTGAGAGTAAAACTTCCAGGAGGTGGGAATCGAGGCAGGAGGGCAGAGGGACCATGAGAGCAGAGCAGAAATCTCACCGGTCAACCCAGCCCCAGCAGAGCCCGGGTTTTACACCCACGTCAGCATCTGGTCCCAGGTACCTAAATACGAGGGCGAGTGTCCTGCTGGCATCGCTGCAAAGCAGCTGGCTCTGCTCTGCCCCGGGGAGGGTCCCGTGCCCAGGGCAGGTCGCTGGCAGCGGGATTCCGCAGGCTTTGGGTCCTGCCCGTGTCGGGGAGGGCAGGGTTTGGCTGGAAGCAGCAGAGCGGGGCCGATGCGCTGAGCCCTGCATCTCCGCAGCACGGGGCAGGGGGACGAGGCA